AATACGAATGGTATTCAAAAGGCTAATAACTGATAATATTTTTGAAATATTTCCTTACAGTCACTTTTTTTCAAATATTTTTCAAGGTCATTGATGTGCTTACCATGTAACTATATATTTTATTTATTGTATTGTGTAGCTGCCAAAGTCTGTGATTTCGATGGAAATAAATTTAGAAATAAAACTCAAAGTTTGTGATTTCGATGGAAATAAATTTATATGTAAAATTCAAATTTTCAAAATCACGTTCTTTACATATCTGAACCTATTTTTTCACCAGCGGCACGATACAACAAAAAAAAAAAATAGTTGTATGAAGAAAGAATATCAATGATCTTGAAAATTTCTTTGAAAAAAATATTCTTATTTGAAAGAATTCTTTAGTTATTAGCCTTTCGGGTACCACTCATATTAGGATGCAAAAGGTATTTGTTACAACGTCACAATTCGAAAAGATATTTAGGTGGCCTCACTTAAATGGACTACCCTGTATACATTTTGCAATTGATGTAATGAATTAGGTTCTAGAACTACGTAATTTGTCATAAGATACCCACTGTACATGAATATTCATAAAAATTTTTCACTTTGTCTCTGATTTTGTAAGAATGTCATGTTTTTTGAAAAACAAGATAAAGATTGATCAAGTAAGATATAAAATTAAAATTACCTAGGCGCACAGGTGGTGTAGTAAAACCCATGGTGTCGTACTAGATGCAATAGAATCGGTAAAGTTCTGTAAACTGCAATAATGGAAAACAATGCAAGACTTGCACTCCACAATACAAGCACACGCCTCAGATCATATTTTGGTCTATTTGACATGTAATGCTTTCCGCCAAAAATTAGGATTGCATAAAGAGCACAGTACAAAAAACAGTATGGAAAATGGTCCTTCATCCATATTTGTGTTTGCTTAAAGTTGAAGTTTTTTTCGAAGTTGAAGAGATGTGTGTAATTAGATGTAGTGAAAAACTCATAATCCAATTCATCCATTGTCGATATGTTCTTCATCTATTCGTTGGCCGCCGGAAATTTAAAAAAAGAACGAGGCTTTCGCTAAATCTGCTGAAAAGAAAGGAAGATATTTATTGAATTTACATTTTAGAAGCTGAATATTATTAATATTAATATTTGTATATAATAATAACTATAATCAGAAATCCAAAATGACAGTTATTTGAAACATTTTTTCAAAAGAAGTCATTGGATAAAAAATTATTTTTTTCTGTCACTGAATTTCTTTTTGTTCTCAATAAATAAATAACAAAGAAATTTTTCAACAAGATATTAATTTTTAATTTTTTTGATTAACAATAACTTTATATGAAAATTCTTTTTTATCAGTACCTATTATCGATGTCAGAACATTTATAAATGTTTGATGATCAATACATCCAAA